GGGGACCCCGACCTGTTTCTGTTGTGCCCAGTGTGAGCCCTATGCACGTACCTAGATCGCACTCAGAGTTTCAGACGTTCTGAACAGCTCTTTATTTGCTTTGGAGGACAGCAGAAGGGAAATGCTGTCTCCAGACAAAGGATCTCCCACTCGATTGTGGATGCGATCCTAACCTTTTGCATTATTGCCTAATCTTTTGCATTATTGACACACTATTTTCCTATTTAATACTGTAAAGCTGCTTTGACACAATCTGTATTGTTAAAAGCGCTATATAAATAAAGGTGACTTGACTTGACTAATGGCCTATCAGGCCAAAGGCCTACCTTGCCCACTGGGAGTGAGGGCTCACTCTACCAGGGGCATGGCTGCATCAGCAGCCCTGGCGAATGGGGCCTCTCTAGCAGATATCTGTAGAGCTGCAGGTTGGGCAACACCTAATACATTTGCTAGCTTTTATAATCTACGAATGGAACCAGTTTATTCCAGAGTTCTGAACATCAGTTCTTTGACTCAGGAGACTGGCAGGGTTTAGAGCTTGCTACCAGCACTACTCCCCCCAGGGCAATTATGCGCTTATTCAGTCCAGCTCAGGTTTTCTTTCATGAACTCTGGACTACCCTTCCATCACATAAGCACTTTTTCTTAGCAAAGTTTGACGGAGTAACTTGCTATTAGAACTCATTATGAGGTAGTTTCCCTCGAGTGAACTCTTGTATTGGGTTAGTGCTACACATGTAGTGGCTCCTCTTCAGGCCCCATGTGTGTATTCTCCACTGTATTGCCCCTGAGGCTCAGTGTTCCCCTAGACAGACATTCTGTCGAAATGTTCTGGGTTTTGGTAGATCTCCCCTTATGCGGAGCCCACCCCAGTACCTTCCCTATGTGGTACTTCCTCTGTAAGTCCATAGGTGGATCTTCACATGTTACCTCCCCATCGGGTAGGATGTGATCTCCGTAGTGCCTTTTTCCCTAGGGGGAATAGTCACTGTCCTAACGTTACTACCAAGACTTTTCAGCTGTTATATTATGGTGAGTATTACTAAGGGAAAAGGCTCCGGCTGAGGGGACCTCTGGTTCTCCCGGATGTTGGAGAGTGAGGTCTTAAGTCTTGGGCATTGGAAGGTTACGAGGAGGAGAGGTGCATTTGGTTGTGACACATTGGCTTGTCAACATCTGTGCCCCCGTGGACTTGTGATGCAGTTCGGCAGTTGTGGTGTTTAGTATAGGGACCCCTAGTGTCATAGACTTGACACAACGTCGGAGTGAACGAAGGGAATGTCTCGGTTACGTATGGTAACCCTCGTTCCCTGATGGAGGGAACAGATACGTTGTGTCCTTCATGCCACAACTCCGAATTGCCTCTGAGTGGGTTGAGTCGCTTCTTGAATCCTCAGAACAGAACGAGTGAGCAGATGCCACGCTGGCCTATTTATACCCGGATGTCCAGAGCATGACCAGCTATGCAAATTCTGCACACCCAATTTCATTGGCCTTTTCTCAAGATGTCAGAGGTGTTTGGGCTCCCAAGAGTGAGCCCTAGTGTCATACACTCAAGGGTTACCATACGTGATCTGAAGAAAATGTAAGTGGTATTTGCCCATTCTAGGGTGCTGTGTTTTAAGTGTTATATTTCTTTTTAATAGCAAAATAAACAATGAATAAAAATGCAGTGAGAAAACAGCAGTCAAGAAAGCATCTGATCATAGTGATGGGGACATATTTGCATCAGCTCTGCAATTGAACACTCCAATCATGTCACAACATGTAGTATTGATTTAAATAGCAGTTTGTACAATAGATCGCTTTAAATCAAGAAACTTTTCAATGTTTAAGCTTTACAGTACTCAACATGAAAGTGTGAGTGCTAGAATTACAACTTCAAATATTACTACAAAAAAGCTCCCCAATGTTTTTACTTGTGTCTCCATGGACTGAACAGAAGAAATAAACCAATGATCTCTACATTGGAGAAGGTGGAGCCCCAGAGCATAGCTCTGTTATGTTATTGCCACAAACCAAATGGTAGTTTAAAGGTAGAGCAACCTTTTTTTTGGAAAACTTTAGCAAGCTGTTTTAAACCCCCAAAACAAGCTACATGTTTGCTTGCTTTTGTTCTAAATGATGCCACAGCAGTTTGTCCTTTAATTTCGCTTGAAGTATCCACCTTATTATTTATTTTTTTTTATTAAAAGGGTGGTTGACTGTTTTTTTTCTAGGCTTGATTGTGTTTATGGGGTGCAGTCTAACATGTGTTAATCCTTTGTTTTTAAAAAGAAAACACATTATTTTTCACATAATTTACTTTTATTCTACACCGCCCTGTCCCTACTCATATTAACACGCTGATGATTTCCTGGTTTTATGAAGCCCCTCCCTCAGAAATACACGATGGGCTCAGATTGGTTAGCTGGCCCAGTGTGTTGTGATTCGCTAAACCACCAGTGCATGTCTCACGCCTCTCACCTCAGTGCATGTGCTCCGGTTGGATTGTAAACAATGGCATCGTCTATATTGCTTATCAATTTGAGCCCGATTGTGACGCAGAGGATATTAGTGAAGAGGATCATGCAGAACCTGTGCAAGCACACGGCTCTTAATGGTATGTTTTTTGTTTGTTGTTGTCTCATACTTTTAGATACTGTTATTTGTAAATGCTACTGCTTCTGTTAGCTTTTAATATATCGTTTTATCCTGATTAAAGCTTTAATACAGTAAGCCAACCACATGCGAATATGCACTGAGACATGTGCACATTGCTTGACTGTGCTTCCACTCGCTGTTATTTCACTATTTTACTTTAGATATGTTTTTATTTATGCCGTTTGAAATGCAGTACGTATTAGATGCACGGAAATAACTTACTGACAGATTTTCATGTGCACTTTGTGTTTGTTAGTCCTGAAGCTTGCGGCTGCGGTTAAACGCACTTGCATCTCCAAATATTGTTATGATACGAAATTGATGTAAACACAGTCAGTTATGCTTTCAGAACAGAACAAAACATCTGATATGTCAAAACAGATCTGTGCATTAGTGTGAATGCAGCCTATTAAAGATGCCACTGTCTATGATCTCATCAGTAATAATCAAATGGCAATAATGCTGAGGAAAAAAGAAAAAGCCCATAACTGATTGTCTGTAAACTTTCGAATACTTAAAGCACTCTCAGATACTGAAAGTGATTTTTGATTATCACTTGTAATTATCTTTTCCCCTCTTTATTACTTTATATTTGCTTGTATGTTTTGAAGATAGATTTACTTTGTTTAATTCTTAACAATAATTAATTAATTCATTATATATTAATTAACGTAATTATTTTAAAAAGTTGCCTGCTTATATAATTTAATAAAAATGCACAAAATAAATTTGATATAATCATGATGCATCGTGATATCGAATTGAATTGAATAGAATTGTTGACATGATAATCGTAATCGAATTGAATCGTGAAACCAGTGCCAATTCACACCCCTAATTTAGGTAGTACGGGGGGCACATTCCCTTCAAAAACAAACATAATCCACTGCGTCTTCAGTGGCTCAGATGTCGGGAGTAAATGACGACTGCTATGTTCATTATTACATCCAACAACAAAGCACCTCAATCGCTTAGGAGTCATTCTTGTCTACATCTGCTCCGGTGGTGAAACAATGGCGGACTGATGACAGCTCACTCAGGGGGGGGTCTAAGGTAAAACGCCAGTGTCACTCAACAATTGTGGGAGGGGCCTGGGTATGTGTGATGTCACACTGCCAAGAATCTGAGATCGGCTTGATTTGAAAAGGGGACATTATTTATATGGATTTAAAAAAAAAAACACTGGGTGGATTTTTTATCATTATAGGGTGGTTGTGCACACACACTGCCAATACACATTTATGTTCAAACAACTTGTAAAAGTGAATTTTGCATCCGATGACCCCTTTAAAAATAAAGGTTCTTTATTGGCATCAGAGGTTCTATAAAGAACCTTACACATCCATGGAACCTTTCAAATGCAGAAAAGGTTTGTTATAGTCGAAAAAGGTTCTTTAGGTTTCTAAAATGTTCTTCAAAAACGCCAGTGTCAATCAACAATTGTGGGAGGGGCCTGGGTATGTGTGATGTCACACTGCCAAGAATCTGAGATCGGCTTGATTTGAAAAGGGGACATTATTTATATGGATTTAAAAAAAAAACACTGGGTGGATTTTTTATCATTATAGGGTGGTTGTGCACACACACTGCCAATACACATTTATGTTCAAACAACTTGTAAAAGTGAATTTTGCATCCGATGACCCCTTTAAAAATAAAGGTTCTTTATTGGCATCAGAGGTTCTATAAAGAACCTTACACATCCATGGAACCTTTCAAATGCAGAAAAGGTTTGTTATAGTCGAAAAAGGTTCTTTAGGTTTCTAAAATGTTCTTCAAAATGGTTCTTTTAGGACCTGTTCACTGAAAGGTGAATGGCATCACTGCAAAAACACAGTTTTGGAAGCTTTATTGTTTGAGAGTGTACAGCACACACACAGCTTTAACAGACACATATTTTATTGGAGTTTCTCCTGTATTTGCCTGCTGTGTCAGTCTGAGACCGCAAAGAAGTGTTCAAACGCACCTCCTCCTGTCCTCAACGCACTGTCAGAGCGTAATTAAACACAAATGTGTGCTTGATAAGAATATTCAAAAGAAAAACTCATCATATAATCTTGCATGATATTTTATATTTCTCTGCTATCAGCAGTGGATGGCTTGATATTTCAATAGAAGGGTCGCATATTTTTGTAAACTCTTAGAAAAACAGGGCCAGCTGTTGACTACAGCCAGCTGTCTATATGCACTGCAGACAGCAAAGCAGCTCTCTAGGTGTTGGAATAGAGAAAGTTTCTAAAATATATTATTGTTGGGAGTCTTGAATGAAATTCATTGGCAGATGCAGTGTCTGCTTCATTACACTACTGAGGATTAGTTTCTGGCGGACTAGGATGGCTATGAAGAATCTCTCTCACCTTGCCTTCAAGGCGCGCGGTACCCCCTTGGCAGACGCGGGTATTACGTGGCGGGAGGGTAAAAACAGGGGGCTCTTTGCTGGGGGAACCTCGTCCCAGAGTCAGAGTCGTCTTGGAGACATGAGATCCCGTAACAAACTGAACGTCACCCATCATTCTGCAAACACAAGAACATCAGAAGAGTTTTAAATTCCATGTCAAATTCATATAAGTAGTAGAAAAAAAATTAAAGAAAACTAAACAATGCAATGCAATGCACAACAATGCAATGCATTCTCAATGAAAAGACAATGAATGCATTAAAATGAATGAACTGACTGTAGTTTATATAGTCACGTTTTTTTTTTCTTTTTCTTTTTTAAGCATGGATTATGATCCTTCCATTGAGTTTCAGGATTGTTATGAATTTCATATGACCTATACTAAATTCTTCATGTTCACACAGAGAATTTAGGACCATATATGTTCATGCTTTTGACCGGCCCTCTTACTGTATAGGGGTCATAAGGATGTATTTATTTATTTATTTATTGCATGTATTTGTTGTCACATAACCAGTGTCTCTTTCTCTCTTTATATGCTTTCTCCTTGCAGCTTAATGTGAAGACAATTATAAGTGATTCACTGATAGGTTGAATTAATGGTAGATGGAGAAGTGTTTGGAGAAACCCATTTGAAAACAGTCATTATTTTTGCAATTCCATTTGGTAATGCTAGTGGCACAGAGATGTCACATTTACACTAACACTAACAACAAGTACGTGTTATAACATAGTTAGAAATATTTATTATTCAACCCTTATGAAAAAATAATATTACCTAGCACAATCAAGTATTCAAGTTTAAACCTGAACTTCACTTCATTATCCAAGGAAACCCTCTAGCTGACCACAGACCAAGTGATACTTTAAATGGTGTTCATAAATCTGCATCTTCCCTTAAAAGGTCAAAAACTCCTTCACGACCGTGAATTTAAGCTGATTTATGAGCATGCAGCAAAAAGATCTTTGCTGAAACATGTCACATTTGACCTCTGAGTCAAAGTGTAACCATATGGTAGGCCTATCCTAAATCCAGTGGACAGGCAATACCGTGACAAATGTACTTGCATATTTTACACATACAAGAACAAGCACACTCAAATACATGTCAAACAGTCACAGCCATTTCCTCTTTAAGAGGTCTGCAGATTGTACCACATGGGGCGACCACATCCCAGGCTGAACACATTAGCCTGTCGCAGTGAGCGGTCAGCACAGGCTGTGCACTCCAGCCTTACATAGAGGATTTTTACACTTGGTTCAATTGGGTAATCAACGGAATCAGTCGACTACCACCATGAGTGACTAGCATCTGAGTTCTGAAGAGTACTTTTATACCAACTGTAGCGAATCAGCTCATGGGGAAATATGAATAATTAACCATAACTAGTTATAATTAACTATTCATACTTTAGATCCACTGTAGATATTTAGCTGACCACTCAGGGTCAACTGTCTTGTCAATTCTAAGACGTTAATTTCCTGGTTAAGGGAAATAACTTTCTTACTGTACAATTCTATAAGCTTGTAACGTAAATCTGCATGATTATTGACTCCGGTTATGAGTAAACAGTCACTGTGCATTAATTATTAATTCTTCTGGATCTGCCGAAAGGAGAAACTTTAATTAAAGGGTTCAAATGTGACAGAGTGCAGCATGCATGCAAGACATGCAACCTCACAGGATAGGTAAATAAAGCTGGATGTTTGATGGGTTTTCCTTTCTCTCTCTCCCGCTCTCTGTCCAGATTTTTCACCATTGTGCTTATTGGCAGACTCCAGACATGCTTTCACACGGTTGTTTTTGAGTAATGGCTTCTTTTGCACAACACTCACGTACAGGCCAGTGTTATGCTGAACTCTTGATATGGTCGACTGGTCCATCTTCAGCCTGTTCTCAACTACTACTTGAGCTCATACAAAGTGATCTGTGGTAGTTATATTAATTAACCAACCAATTGCAAGGCAGCTGTGTAGATCTAGGGGCAAAAACACGCAATGGGACTGAATATTTTGCATTTATATTTATATATTTTGCAAGAGTGCATACTTATTTGGACTTGTAAACACATCCAAGACTCCTTATGGCATAGACACTGTCCAACATCCCCTAATTCCAGCCCAGCAAACATCAGCAAAAAACCTGCATTAAGTACTCTATTACAAATTTAAATGAGTGAGCTATTTTTTTTCTATTTCTTTACTAAATAACCAAAAGGAACCTGAGTTAAAGTCTTATATTACAGTATTACTCTGTCTAATCTCTCATACCTCATGAGTTCCATTCAAAAGCTTGTTGCAGTCAGTCATGATTTAGACAAAAATGAAGGATCTTCGACATCAAACATGTTGAAATGTACACAAGTCCCAATGAGATTTGAGACCTACACAGAATGAACTGTTGGTAAATGACAGTAAAAAACATTTTGGGTTAATGATGGAGATTTAAAGGGTGCAGAACGTGTAGAACATGGTGTACCACAGTTCCACCAATCCTGAAGAAATTGCTAAGCCTTCCACAGAGTTCTGTGGGCACAGAGTCTTTGTGAGGCTGGTCTCACAGTCTCCACTGTCATATGCAGCTCTATAACACAAGAATGATTCAAAATACAGCAGAAATCAGGGTGCACGAAAGAACAGTGGGTTCAATTTAAGACATGACTTTAATGTTATCAAGACATTATTTTATTACCAAGTGAACATTCAGTTGTTGTTAAGATTAACTATGAGTTCTGGCTGTATTAGTTGAGGGTGTCCAATCCTGCTCCTGGAGGGCTGATGTCCATTAGAGTTTAGTTCCAGCCCACCCAACACATTTGCCTGGAGGTTTCTAGTAATCCTAAAACTTTGATTAACTGATTCAGGTGTGTTTAATTTGAATTGGAGGTAAACTCAGGACGGTGGCCCTCCAGGAGCAGGATTGGACACTCCTCTGTTAGGTAGTCACTTTTAAACTGATATAAATTGACACAACCAGTTTTCTCAGTTGATGTGATGAGTAATGTGATGTGTAATTCCCAGGAGCATCGTCAAACACCCATAGAGTAATACAGGGATGCTGGAGTCTATCCCAGCAGTGATGGAAATGCCTAATTTTGAAAAAAATTCCGTAATTCGTAAAAAAAGTTTTACGCTCAATTGAGGTGGTTTTTGACTTGTGCGCAAAAGGGTTATTGCAAATAATGGGAGATGGAAATGCATTTTGTGAATAAATTCCTCCAAGCGCATCAAAAAAGTCATGTGACTATGCGCTATGGGATGGGAAAACCTGACTAACCAGCAGACCGATCTCACTCCACAGCATCTGAAATGTTGTTATGGTCATTTGGGAAAATGCCCGAGCAAAATCTGTCATCAAAGTATTTCTGTATAATTGCCTCCCTGAATGTCTTACAGCATCCACCTCAGAAAGCAATGACCACATTCATTGTGTTTCGTCTGCTCGCTCTGAGGCACAAGTAATTTATTATAGATGAAAATGATTCTATTCAGTAGCTTCTCCTACTTTGCCAGATTACCAGGAAGTGACCATTTTGTTCTCTTTGACTCGTTGAATGGAAACAATGCTTGTTAGCAAATGTTTTATGCGATATTGCGCATAAGTCAAATTCACAACTTTGGATGGAAACCTGGCTACAGTCCTGCAGAGTTTCGCTCTAACCCAGCCAAAAGTAGCTGTAGAAAGCAAAGGAGCAAAACTCTCCAGGACTGACATTGGCCACCCCATCATCAAACAGAATATTAAAAATCGCTGTCTCCCAAACAAAAACGAAGCATTCTCATTGTTAGTCCCTGTGTTTGGACAGACAGAAAACAACTGCCCTAACAAGACTCAAGGGTGGAATCCTATGCTCTCCATTGACTTTGTTTTGCTGGAAGCTGCCTCCTTGTCATTTCTGACTTATAACAAAAAAACAGAACAATACCTTAAACCTGCTGTGTGACAAGGTGTACAGCAAACAAGCTAAAACCCAGAACTATGTTTTTATAGGCTGTCGACTCCAAAAAACGAGTGTTGAAGGACACAAATATTTGTAGGTTTCAGGGTATTTCACGTTGGGCCATTCAGTTGGATCATTTCTCAAACAAAAGGAAGGTAAGGAAGGGGTACTGACATAGACCAATCAAATTTAGTTTCTCAATATATCTCCTCTTCTTAGGTTCACACAGGATGGTAAAATAATCCTTCGACATGGTTAAAAATAATGAATGTTTCCTGTCGCCGATTATGTTTCCCTCCAGTGGGTGTAGTTCTCAGAGTAAGACATGTTGCACTCTACTTTTGTGTCCTTAAAGGGATAGTTCACCACAAAATGAAAATTCTGTCATTTCTCACCCTCATGTCATTCCAAACCCGACAGCTTCGGGTCGACAGCTTATAAAATCGTAGTTCTGGGTTTTTTAGCTTGTTTGCTGTACACCTTGTCACATAGCAGCTTTTAGACATTGTTCTGTTTTTTTTGTTATAAGACAGAAATGACAAGGAGGCGGCTTTCCACAATACAAAGTTAATGGAGAGCGTTGGATTGTTTTCCCCCGGTGGGCATGGTTTTCAGAGTATGACGTGTGTCGCCAGCAGTGATGGAAATGCCTAATTTTGAAAAAAATTCCGTAATTCGTAAAAAAAAGTTTTACGCTCAATTGAGGTGGTTTTTGACTTGTGCACAAAAGGGTTATTGCAAATAATGGGAGATGGAAATGCATTTTGTGAATAAATTCCTCCAAGCGCATCAAAAAAGTCATGTGACTATGCGCTATGGGATGGGAAAACCTGACTAACCAGCAGACCGATCTCACTCCACAGCATCTGAAATGTTGTTATGGTCATTTGGGAAAATGCCTGAGCAAAATCTGTCATCAAAGTATTTCTGTATAATTGCCTCCCTGAATGTCTTACAGCATCCACCTCAGAAAGCAATGACCACATTCATTGTGTTTCGTCTGCTCGCTCTGAGGCACAAGTAATTTATTATAGATGAAAATGATTCTATTCAGTAGCTTCTCCTACTTTGCCAGATTACCAGGAAGTGACCATTTTGTTCTCTTTGACTCGTTGAATGGAAACAATGCTTGTTAGCAAATGTTTTATGCGATATTGCGCATAAGTTAAATTCAC